CGCGCTCGCTTCTCGAAGGAGCGCGGGAACGCGCCCTCTTTCAGAGCGGTCGAGGCTCCACGAAAGCTCTGTATGAATCCAGAAATAGAACCCACCTCTGCGCGCAGAACGGCCGTAGCTGAGCAATCCCTCTTACCTCTAGGGTCCTTCAAGGCGTTTGAGCAGCCACGGCAGTCAACCTTCGGCAATAAGACTTATTGATACGATATGGCGTGTGTGTATGTGTGACTTCACTTCGCGCGTGTAACTCTGGTAGCCGTCCATAAATGCAAAAGCGCGTCCCGGTCGACGGTGCCCTTGGTGTGGCCGTCCACTGTCATGTCGCAGGTGTCGCACCAATGTGCGTTATCAATAACACCAATACCCAGAAATTTCCTCAACCAGCTAAGATGTCCCAGCAGTGGTCTTGAGAACTTTGCTGGAGAGAGCCTTGTACACGGATTTGGCACCAATCGGAAGGGATACCTTGATACAGTCCACCTTCTACACGAAGGCGATTCAGCCTAGAGGGACGTAGTGATTTAGTGGTCCATTCATGAGCTCATGTAGTGTCATTAGAATCGGGTAGCACCCGTCCACACTGTGGGCAGCGGCGAGTGCTTCGGCAGCGTAAATAAATCGAACTTGGGGGCGATGGGACTTCCTCAGGCTACCGATGCAGTGCGTAGTTAACCTGGTGTTTGCTGCTCGTGTTGCCGCGACGCAGGAACTTACACCCACGAAGGCCATATCCCTTCGCTTCACCGTCCTTCTCCCCAGTGAGTTTTCGATACCCCGAGTTGCTGTGCAGGTCCACGGCCCCGTCAGGGACCATCGCGTGAAACGTGATCTTCTTGGGTTCCTGCTGCAGCTTTCGAGTAAGGGCGTTTAAACGTCGCACCTGGAGGTTGGTCAGTGTCTGTATACGCTGCAGTGGCGCAGTGCATACCATAAAGCAGAATTGCGTGAGGGCGGGGTAAGCTAGATCAGCCCGAAGGCTAACAAACATGTCGCTGACTATTTTGCTAGCAGTGGCGTCAGGGGGCGCCCCGACAAGTTCGGGGTATGCTATCGGATGAAGTTTGTCAACGTACTCACCTTCATCCATGATTACGTCGCCATCATCCACCTTGGTGTACCTCACGGTGCTGTTAAGGTACGCGTGCTGGTGGGGATTACAATTGCCGAATGCTCGTTCGACCTTCCGTACGCATACATCGACGTGGGCCTCCTTGCCACACATGTTGATGTCATCGACGTGTGGCCGTGAGAAACTCCTGGATGACGAGCGGGCACCCCGCGATCCTTGTGACATTGGCTTTGACAGGGATGTCGCGTGGTGCACAGAATTCGCTTATTATGCGCTCGCCCACTATCCACATCAAACGCAGGCGCAACATGGTTGCGAGTGCACACGCCATACACCACTACCCCGCCGTCTTCTTCGCATTTGTTTGTGACAGGGATGGCAAGGGTGTCGACATATTGCCCGATGCGCGCTGTCACGGGCGCTGACGCAACTGGTGCACTCTATACACGTCGCGCACCTCGCGCAACTGGAGCATGTGGCAAGGCGCATTTGGAACATGTGGCGCTCATGGTGCGCCTTATACGTACAGTTGGGCCCTGGGGACAGCGTGGCATACCTAGCACGCGTGGCAAACCTGGCGTCTGCACTCGTTCCTAATGGCTGTCCATCCGACGGTGACCTATGCTGACTCTCGCGTACTACTTATATGGTGGATAGATGGTGGGATGGCGGGTGGGAAGAAGCAAGGTATATTCCGGACTTAACATTGGGAACTTCACCCTCCCCCGTCCCCATTCTCCCGTGCGTCTAACACGAGGAGGGGGGGGCGAGGTGTTAGAGGGCCCACTTGAGCTCAAGATTCGGTGACTCCAAGACGGCTCCAGGTACCCCAACGTGGCGTCCAAAATAGCGCAATCGCCCCCGTTGGTCGAAGGTGACGTTCACCATGCTTCCAAGACGGCACTGGGCGTCCCCAACGCGGTTCCTAGGAACTACGAAGACTCCCGAGAATGCCCCTGAGATCTCCTATGCCCCACCGCCAAAGACATGCCTCCATGTGCTTTGACGCCTCGCATTGTCGCTCGTGGTGGGCACCTAAAGCTTCACGATGGCCCCGGCGTGCACCGACAGCGCCCCGGGACGGGCCTCGAGGGGCTCCAGCACGATCCCCATGGCCTCCGAGGACAGCCCTGGAGCACCCAAGGAGGGCAGGCGGCATGCTGTCCACTCCGGCAGATCCAAGGGTCGGGGGCGCGCAAACATGGATTAGCGATCCATGGATGAGGCGCGCGGTCGCCAAATCCATTGATCGGGGAAGCGCCCTCCCCAAAATGCGGCCGGTGCCGCCTCGTTCGGCGGTTGAACTCCGCGATTTCCCATGAAAACGGGACCCGTCGCGAATCCACGCCCCCTTAATGCATGTTTGCGATCGCCTGAATGGGAGGGGGGGAGCATCGAGACCCCTCCCCCCCTCCCCCTTCGGTGGCACCCATGACTTGTCACCGAACTCCCCCCGTCCTCACCGAAGGCCTCCTGGGTCGGCCTTCTGAGGGCCACCAAGGGGCCCACGAGCATCCCCACACGCCCCCCGGCGCCCCCAAATACGAGAAGGCACGTGCGTCCGACTCCTGAGCTCGTGGCGTAGACCTTCTGATGTAGCTGGGTCGTGCCGGGAGACTTTGAGGAGCAGGCAAAGGGTGAATCAACACTGATGGGCGAGTAGGAATGACTGTCAGGAGCCCGAGAGGTCGCGACGCGGAGTAATTCAAGGAGGGGAGAGAAGTGAGCACCGAAGAGCGAGGATGGATGAAGGTGAGTAGCGCGGACAATGAGGAGTGAGCCAAAAGGGGGACGGGGACTAATTCTCCCACCTCCTGCGCGCATATCGCTCTTCATATTGATCTAGTCAGTAAAAGGTTCATCTTATTTGTTCCCCCTTGGACCAGAATCCTGTGGGGACCTCCGGTAGCATAACTGTTCTTGCCATAGAAAAACATCGTTTGCATCTGGCTCGATCAAGACAGCGTGAGATCGGCACTCAGGGCAGCTGACGTCAGGTAGGCAACACTGCGATACCCAGTTGAACACTCTCTGTGTACTAAAGGACGCAGGGGCGGCGGGAGTAAGGCGGGCAGGTGGGCCACGGGCCGACCCTGGGCCTCACAGCCTGAGAGGCAAGAGAATGTCGATCTCGGCAGCGTTCGCTAATCCCACCAGCCCTCTGGGCGTCGGTGGTTTAGGGCGTTTCCTCTTCCACCCCTCCCTCTTCCCCTTCGGGGAGGGGTGTACCACCCCCCCGACCCCCTCCCCGTGGACCTGGACGGGGGGGAAGTGTCAGAGGGTAGTTTTTCGCCCAAGTCGGCCCCAAGAGGGCCTCTGAGAGCCCAAGATAGCTTCCAAGATGGCTCAAGATAACGCAAGATGCCTCAAGATGGCTCCGAAGATGCTCGAAGGCGCTCCAAAACCGCCCCGAGATGGCCCCAAGTTTCCAAAAGAGCTCCCCAAGGATGCCCCCAAGAGGCCAAAATGCTTCAAAACCCTTGGGGGATCAATGTTTTAAGTTTTCTCGCCTTCGCGCTCCCGATGCCCATCCGAGGCGACAACGTAGCTCCAAAATGGCCCAAGAGAGCCCCAAGAGGGGCCCAATAGGGCCCCAAAGCGGCCCCAAGAGCACCCAAGAGCGCTCCAAGAGCGCTCCAAGCGGCGATATGGGGAGCTCACGAGGAGGGGCCGCAATTAAGGACCCCCCCTTTGTTGATCGATCTTTTCCAAGATGGCCCCATGAAACGTTTTGGACCCTCTTCTTGGGCCCTGCGCGCGGGCGGGCGGTGCGCCGCCCGCCCACCCGCAAGGCCCAAGAGCCCACCAAAACGCCTCAAGAGACCTCCAAGACGCCACCAGGAGAAGAGGAGGAGGAGGAAGAGGAGGTGGTGGACGAGGAGGAGAACAACTGCCGATGATCGGCGCTCTTCGTTCGAATACCTGGTGTTGGATGGGCTGGCGGGGATGCGCGAAGCGTCAACAATTCTCATCCAACGCCTCCAACACCCTCAGGACCATCTGCTGGTCTGCCCTGCCCCCTCGCTTTTCAGGGGCCAGCAACAGGGGGGGGGACTGGCTGACGAGCCCGGGGGGACACATCGACCTGGAATCGGCGATGCATCGCCGATAGATCGGCGGCAGGCCCCCGATGACGAAGCCACGCGCTCCTGGGCGGGGGGGCGGTCGGACCCCTGTCGGCAATGAGTGTGAGACTCGGGGTCGATACGCCCCACCCCGAGCCTACCCCCCTAACATTTTTGTTTGTGCTGCGCTCAGCATCAGTGCGGGCGGCGACGCGGGTCTGCCAGCAAATGCGCGACACGCCGGCGTCCACCCAGGATGGCCGGCTGCGCCTGGAAGTACCCCAACCGGTGGGGAACAAAAACGTGTTAGGTGGGTAGGCTGGGCCTCCCCCTAACACGTTGCCCCTCATTCGGGGATGGACAGACCCCCCTTTAGTAAAACGTGGTTTAGTGAAAACGACCTGAGGCCCAAACCTGGCGGGCGCAAGCCTGGAAAATAACGGCCACGGCGCCATCTCGAGAACCGAAAACGGACAATTCACGAATCGACGTGTCACTGTTGGGGGGTCTGTCCACCCCCGACTCATCAGGGGTCAAAAAGGGGGTCCACCCATCGTGTCCTGGATCTCTCCCGGGGCGCGTTCTGGCCAGGATCCCAACGCGCATCCAGTCGCGGTCACGAGGGCGCCCCAAAACGACCGAACAGACCTCCAGCGCAAGAACACGAGCCTCGATCGACTACAGAATTCATATACCCCAAAATTAATTGTTTCGCCGAACCCATGAAAAATCAACGTCCTGTTTTGCAGATTCGACGAGGAAACCAAGTTTGGGGTAAATCGATTCTGTAGTCGACCCCCTAGACTCGAAGCCTCGAACCTGAACCTCTGCGCCCCCGCCCCCCGCCGCGCGCCCCAGCCCCAGTCCTGGTTGTAGACCAGCCCCCCCGACCAAAGGCCGTCCGCGCCTCGCCGGGGGGGGGGGGGGCAGGGCAGGGGCAGAGCGACGACTCGCCACGCCCGAGATGGGCACGGGGAGAATAGGCGCGATGCCCAACAGCAAGTGCAGCCCAGAAGCCGGCAGCGGCCGCGGTAGCATACACACTTTCAACGACCGATGGGCACTGCCTTGGGCGGCGACCCATCCTGGGGCGGGCGGGGGCGGGCGAGGGTCGCAGAAAGGAAGGCCCACAGCGAGGGTCGCAGGAGGCGGGGGAGGGCCCCACGGAGGGCCCAGGAGGGCCCCCAGCTGGGGCCCCGAGAAACGCACGAGAGGTGTTCCGTGCTCCGCCGCGCGCCCCTCGGGCGGTCGCACCCGCGATCGGACCGCCCGCCCGGCCGGGCCGCCAGGCCTCCGCGCAGCCGAAACGGCCGGCATCGCCGACACCGGCATCTTGCCATCGCTCGGACGTCCATTCCCCGTGCATGTGTCGGCTTCGTGCGTCGTGTTGTTGTTGTTGTTGCTGTTGTTGAACATTATTACTTCTAAAGAATAATTATTGTTGGGGCCCCTGGTGCACGGCCCCCCCGCCGCGCCTAGGCCGCAGCCACATTTCCATCATTTTCGTGAGGAAGTCTCAGGCAAAACGGGTTGGTCCGGATCCGGTTGTTTTGTTCCCCCCCGCTTTCCCTTGCAACAAATAAGCTAAAGTTGACATTTCTTGTTCAAACATAACCAAACGTCAAGAATCCCTTGCAAAAAAAAAGGTAAAGTGGACATTCGCGCGCGCAAGACGAAATCCTTCCAAAACCTTAGTTTTCGTAGCGAATTTAACATAAAAACATCAAAAAACCAATGTTTTTTTTTTAATGACAGAATTTCATCCCGCGCGCTCTTGCGGATTCGTAGGAAACCCAACACTTTTTAATCATTTCTGTCAAACGGGCTTTTGCGAGCAACTTTTTCGAACTTCTGCAACAACGGTTGCGCACCTGCCAGGGCCATCATCCCTGTCAAATAATACCATGCGGGACACATTCGTTTTTTCTTCGCGCGCGCACGCCGTCGTCGTCGGCCGCGGGGCCCTGAATAGTAGCCACGGTCGTCCGCATGCCACGAAGTGAAGTGTCCGAACGTCATAGGGCGGGAAGCTGGGTGTGGGTGGTGGCGAAGAGTCGTTTGGAAATTTGGTAGAGCTTGAACCGGCCCCCCCACAAAGTGGGGGTATTGCCCGCCTCCTATGAAAACCCTGGCACTGGTGAGAACGGAGTGTCCCCACGTGCTAGTAATTGTTGTTGTTGTTGTTGTTGTTGTTGTTGAACTCTCATTCTTGAAGAATAATTATTGTTGATCCCCCCCCACCGGTGCACATTGATTTTTTTCGATTGAAGTGCCACCCCCGGGGCTCGCACCTTGTTTTTTCTCAAGGAAAGTCTTCCTGCTCAAACTGTGCCCCTGCCCCCCGGGCTACAACAACAACGGCTCCCGCCTGAGACTTCCTCGATTTTTACTCAGGACCCCCGCTCCCGCCTAAGACTTCCGCGCAATTTACTCAGGAAAGGCGCTCCCGTCTGAGACTTCCTCGCAATGTAATCAAGACCCCCGCTCCCGCCTGAGACTTCCGTGCAATTTACGTGGGAACGGCGCTCCCGCCTCAGACTTCTTCGAATTTTACTCAGGACCCCCGCTCCTGTCTGACATTTCCGCGCAAGTGACTCAGGAACGGCGCTCCCGCCTGAGACTTCCTCGCAATTTAGTGAGGACCCCCGCTCCCGCCTGAGACTTCCGTGCAATTTGCTCAGGAACGGCGCTCCCGCTTGAGACTTCCTCGCAACTTAGTCAGGGCCCCCGCTCCCGCCCGAGATTTCTTCACAATGTACTCAGGACTGCGCTCTCGCGTGCGACGTCCTCACAAATTATTCTGGAATTGCGTTTCGGCGCTCAGGAACCACGCACGCGCCAAGGACGCCTTCACAACGTGGTATCTTCCCTCTTCCTTCGTCCTTCCCCCTCCCCTTCCTCCCACTCTCCCTCGTTCTTCCCCTCCTCCTCTTGCAGGGCCCGCGCCAATTCCAATGGCGGGCAGAGAGATGTACGCCCCCGAAGGATTGTCCGCCCGTTCCGGTTTGCCCGTACGTCTAAGCCCGCCGGCCCCAGCAAAGAGAAATAATCCCCCCGAAAGTGGTGTGATCGAAGACGAAGAGGGCGGGTATCGAGGGTGTAGGGTATACGTGTTGAATGACTCGCGGGCAAGTAAGAGCGTACAGCCTTAAAATGGTTGTTGTTGTTGCTGCTGCTGCTGCTGTTGTTGTTTGGCTCGATGATCCAGGATGCTCCTCGATGGTCCTCGCCGAGAGAAACGCACACGTCCGGCGATGCCAAGGCATTCGGAAACCGGCGCACGCCGTTGACAGTGGCAGTTCCCCGCGGAAGCGGCCCGTGCCGCCAGATGCTCTCAGCCCGGCCGCGCGTCGAGGAATGGCAGACCATGCTGTTCCACTATCTGACGCGGAGTGTCCACGCGCTCCGTTTACAGCGGCAGGAGCGCTCAAGCTCCCCGCGGAAGCGGCCAGCGCCGCCGCCGCTGGACGCTTTCAGCCCGGCCGCGCGTCGAGGACTGGCAGACCATCCTGACCCGCTACCTGACGCGGAGTGTCCACGCGCTCGGCCAGCACTGCCGCGGTGACGCGCGGCTCATTGGGGCGCCGCCTGCGGGGGGGGGCCGCCCCGCGGCGGGGGGCCCAGGCACCGGACGCCCTGAGGAGGGTGGGCACCCACGACGGCCTTCGGGGGAGACGCCGTCGGGGCGGCCTGTCCGTCCCACCCGCACCCCCCTGTTTGTGGCCCCCCCACCCCTCCATCAAGCAACGCCCGAGGGAAAGCGGGAAGGGAACTCAGACCCCGGCGGCGCGGCACAGAAACGGCGGACGACTCTTGCGCCAGACTCGGCCTCGAAGCGCACTCGGAATGAACAGCTGCCCCACGACGAAAGGAGAGATCTCCAGGGGGCGATGTCACGAACAAATGGCGACGGAGGGGAAGAAGAGGATGGAGGAGGATCGACGGTCCAAAATTGAGGTTCTGGAAGTTCTTGGTGGTTTGGTGGGGCGGCCTCCAGGAACCTCTGGAGACATCCTCCGATGCGGAGGAGCAAAAGGTTTGGGCAATTATAGGACACATGCATGCACACGAGGATAACATCGGACGAGGATACATACATCGGGAACCTCTGAGAACCGGCGGGTCTGGAAGATGTATTAGGCGACGCAACCGTTTCAGATCGATCTTGGAAGGTCGGAGAGCGTTCCCAGACGCTCTCCCTCCGTGGCGGAGGCAGAGGAAGAAGGGGGCAGGGCTGGGTGGGGAGCAAGAGGATGGAGGACGATCGAGGATCGAGGATCGATGCTCTGGAAGTTCTTGGCGTCTTGATGGGGCATCCAGATGCCTCCAGAGCCACTCTTGGAGACGGAGGCAGAGAAGGAGGGGCAGGAAGTGTGCAAAGAGGACGAAGAGGAGAACATGAGGAACATAACATAACATACCACTTGCGATCCAATACGTGATCCTATGAATGCTGGGCTACACGCTACACAACCTAGTTAAAACCTGGTGGCTCTGTGTCGCTCGCCGGTAGGATGTTGAGGAGGAAGGACGGATGGTGTGGTGTCGGAGGGGTGGGAGAGGGAGGGCGAATGATGGCAAGGACTCCTACATTTCCCATGGCCGGGTGCGGCTACTACTGCATTTGTAACCCAGCTGCGACGGGCCGGGTAAAATCGATCATCCTTCTCCCACTCCTTGCAATAATACCATATGACAAAACGTTGGCGGACGCCAGTCACATTTGTGGCACTCTGCCAAGACTGCATAGAATCAACAAGCTCCCATCTACGCATCCCTGCGAGGACTGAGAGCGACCGTACGGAACACGAAAGAAGTATGCGCCCGACCACTTACATGAACACGGCCTCCCAATCCGCGAGACCAGCCTCGGGATACGAACGCCCGAGCAATGCGCCCTCTCGAAACCAACGTAGATTCATGTACGTGTACGTCCTTATTTCGCTCCTGAGGTAGGGGGGACACGGAGGATGCGGAGGAGACGGAGAGAGGAAGGCCTGGACGCGTGCTGTGACTCAAGCCTCTTTGCTCTCCGTTGCGCCCCTCTGATCGCCCACGCCGCCCACCCCGATGCCATCCCCCCCTAAGACGGCGCCAGGACGAAGATCGAATTGGGTAAGGATAAATCGAGAATCTCTGAGATCTGGCGGATGTGGAGGATGTCTCGGGTGCCGCGGCCCTCTCAGCGCTGTCTGGAACGCTCCGACAGCGTTCCAGAACGCTCTAGAACGGATTTATCCTCGTCCTAGCCGTCCTAGCCCCGTCCGACCCCTGGGGAAACCAAAAGGTACCAATACCGCTACTCCCGGGACCTCTCCTGCGGTGCGTTCTGGCGAGGACTTCGACGCAAACCCAGCCGTGGCGACGAGGGCTTCCCAGGAGACCCAAGAAAGAAAACGCGGCCAGGGTACTCCGGATTCCTTAATAATCGTTCCCCGTGTCTGGCTTTTTAAGGCGCCTTTTTTGAGAAGGCATGGGGGTCTGGTGAATGAAGGCATGTTCTTGAACCCTGTGTTTAGGGTGGTCTGGTTTATCAGGGCGACTGTTGCGCATGCAATTTCACACCACCGTCACGAATCGCCACGCTCGAAGCTCGTGCTCGTGACCACCAGCCCGCGGACCATACTAATCATCACCACCATCAGCATCATCAGCATCATCAGCATATCATCATCATCATTATCATCATCATCATCATCACCATCACCATCATCGTCACCATCATCATAATCATAATCATTAGCAACATCACCATCAACATAATCATTATCAACAACACAAACATCATCACCATCATCACCACAACCGTCATCATCACAATTAACCTCAGCATCAGCATCGTCACCAACAACAGTAACATCAACCTCAACATCATTACCATCATCATAATCATCATAATCATCACGATCATCATGATCATCAGCATCATCAAAATAGTCATCATCAACTTCATCATCATCATCATCATCATCATCATCATCGTCATCACCTTCACCACCACCATCATCATCATCATCAGCATCATCCTTATAGTCGTCATCATCGTCGTCGCTGTCTACTACTATCAATATCAAGAGCATCATCGCCAGCGCCGTTCCTATGTTCGTCGCTGTCGACGCCATGCCCTCCATGCGCACTTAGCAAGATGTATGTTCCATCACCGCTACCATCAGCAGCATCACCCTCGCTGTCATCATATACACAAACATCTGCAGCAACCAATGTCTGCGCTATCACATACACACACATCTGCCGCAAACAATGGCTGCGCAATGCACTTTTCCCGCGCATGCAATCTTCGCCGTAAGCGTTTACCACTCACGTGGGGTTCCTCACACTTTCTGGCCTGCTGTGTTGGGGTCGGGCCGTTATCGTCTACTGGAGGCCCATGCGCCTCACAAATACTGCGAGCGGGCATGGATAGCCTACGCGCCCATCACGTTGCTCAACAATGTGGTTCAATCTCCACGTTCGCAACGCCGTCTACTCATTGCTACCACTTCAACAGCGTGCGTTACTGCTGTCATGAACGATCGCGCTCGCAATGTTGCTGGGGAGGGGTCTGGAATATGATTCATGTTCCAGACCCCCCTACGGAGTGGTAATCTGGGCGGTATCAGTACCCCCGAACATCCGGCCGCTCCAATTTCTTCGAGGCGTGAGCCCCGGAGGTCCAGACCACTTCCCCAGGGCCGTTTTTTTCCGTCCTGGGTCTTTCTCGGACGCTCCCAAGACCCGGCGAGGGCCCCCGCAGGCCAGAAACGGCCAAACACCGCCCGCTCCAATTTTTGGGGAACGTCGGGCCTTTTCCCCCTCTGACCCTGATGAGGATGACGACGATGACGCCGATGACGATGACGATGCCGACGACGACGACGACGATGACGACGACGATGATGGCGACAAAGACGAAGACGAAGACGACGACGGCGACCCTTCCCCCCGGGGGCCCCCGCTCCACGTCCGGTCGAGCGCGCGCCTTCGCTCCCGCAGAAGCTCATGTGGATGCCCTGGTCGGAGCGCAGCGCAAAGGCCCTGACGTCCCCGACGAGCCCCTCCTCGCAGACGTCGCCGCACCTCGGCGCCCAGGCGGCTGCTGCGGCTGGGAGCGGGAAAGGGTAACCCGCACCTGGAACCTCGAACCTCGACGACGACGATGAAGAAGCCGATGACGACGACGGCGAAGACGACGACGACGAGGAGGAGTGCGACGACGAAGGCGACGACCACGACGCAGACGACGACGAACACGTCAACAACGAGGACAACGACGACGACGAAGACGACGACGACGACGACGAAGACGGCAACGAAGACCACGACTGCGACGAGGACACCGACGACGACGACGACGAAGACGACGACGACGGCGACGACCACAACGGACACGAAAACGACGACGACGGTGACGAAGACGACGACGACGTTGAAGACAACGACGACGACGACGACAACGACGAAGAAAAACGACGACGACGACGATGACGACGAAGACGACGACGACGGCGACGACGAAGACCACGACGATGATGATGATGACGACGGCGAAGACGGCAACGTTGAAGACGACGACGACGACCACGACGGCGACAAAGACCACGACAATGTTGACGAAGATAACGACGACGAAGGCGACGACAACCACGACAACAACGAGAAGAAAGACGACGACGACAGCGACGAAGACCCAGACGCCGACGGCGAAGACGGCGAAGACGAAGAACACGCCGAAGATGATGACGGCGACGAAGACGACGACGAAAATGACGACGACAAAGACGACCACGACGACGACGACGACGATGACAAACACGACGACGGACGACGACGACGGCGTAGACGACGACCACGACGACAACGACCACGACGAAGACGCCGACGGCGAAGACGGCGACCACGACACAGACGACGACGAAAACGACGACGAAGACTACGACGACGATGAAGACGACGACGAGGAGCACGGTAACGAAGACGATGATGAAGGCGACGACGCCGAAGACGACAACGACGGCATCGACGACGACGACAAATACGACGACGACAACGACGAAGACAACGCCGACGAAGACGACGACAAAGACGACGACGACGACGACCAATACAATGACGACCGCGAAGACGGCGACGAAGACGGCGACGACGACGAGGCGACGACGACGAAGACGACGAAAACGACGACCACGACGGCGACGAAGACGACGACGACCGTGACGACGACGCCGACGACGATGATGATGACTACGACAAAGACGACGACGAAGACGACGAAGACGACGACGACCAAGACTGGGATCCGTGTTTAAAAATGTGCGTTTCCAACACGCGACCTGGGTTCGCAAGAGGGAGCAGCGGGGAGACCGTGCGCACGAAATCTGTAGTGGCGATGCGGGAATTTGGTTTCCGCCGGCCCACTGGGCCAGCACGGCACGGCCTGTGCATCAGAAGCTGTCGTCTGACACTCTATGGTCTCTTCACAGGGTCTCGACCCGATGCAGATGGTCTCCGACGCCCCCAGGGCGGCCTCGGAAGTTCAGTTTCATGGTGTGAGTTGTGTGGGGACTTTCTGGTGCTTCCTATTGCCCTACGTTTGCTGTGACGTGAGATGGCGCACCTGGGGTACTCCGTGTGCGAAGCGTACATGGTACTGTTGGAGCACGTGGCATAGTGGGCGGATGTGGTGAAGCACGCGGCATGTATGGCGCACCAGACGAGACGCGTCAGGCACACTCGAGCCCATGGGACACCTGGGGCACCTGGTGCGCGTGCCGCACCTGACACGTGCGGCGAACCTCGCGGACGCCGCGCACCTGGCTGGCGTCTGCATTGGTTCCCGATGGTTGTCGATGGCGGCCCCCGCCTACGCTGATACTCGGGTTATATTCATGTAGTGGGAGGGCGGGTTGGAGTGAGCGAGATAGTTTGCGGCGCTCTTGCGGGGAGTTTTATCCACCCCTGCCCACTTCCCTATCTGGACTGGAGGGTCGCGACCAGCCACAGCGCCCATGATGGCTGCATAATGGCAAACATTAGCCTGGCGAGGGATCCAACCAGATTCAGCTGTAGGTACCGCAATCGCGTGTAGAATCGTCGCTGGGGGTTCTTATGCGGGGGGGAGGGGCGCGAGATGCGCGAGGGTGTCCCCCTCTGTGGGCCACGAGGCGGTGCCTGCTTTGCAGTACGCCATGCAGGGTTCCGCAGCTCCGCAGGTCGCTCCACCCAGGTGGAGTCCCCTGTGGGGCCGCGAAATGCTGTCCTGGGTGGGGGAGGCGCATGCGAACACCGCCACTGGGGCCGTAGGTGAAGCACCCGTGTGGGGCGACGAAACGCTGTTTTGGGTTGGGGTCGCATGCGAACACCGCCATTCGGGCCTTAGGTGGAACTCGATGTGGGGCCGCGAAACGCTGTCCAGGGTGGGGGTCGCATGCGAACACCGCCATTCGGGCCTTAGGTGGAGCTCGATGTGGGTCCGCGAAGCGCTGTCCTGGGTGGGGGATACGCATGCGAACACCGCCACTGGGACCTTAGGTGGAGCTCACTGTGGGTCCGTGAAGCGCTGCCCTGGGTGGGGGATACGCATGCGAACACAGCCACTGGGACCTCAGGTGGGGCTCACTGTGGGACCACGAAACGCTGTCCTGGGTGGGAAGGGCTGCATGCGTACACCGCCACAGGGGCCGTAGGTGGAGCTTCCTGTGGGACCACGAAACGCTGTCCTGGGTGGGAAGGGCTGCATGCGTACACCGCCACTGGGGCCGTAGGTGGAGCTTTCTGTGGGGCCAGGAAGCGCTCTCCCGGGTGGGAAGGGGGAGACGCATGCGAACACCGCCACTGGGGCCGCAGGTGGGGCCCCCTGTGGGGCCACGAAACGCTTTCCTGGGCGGGGGAAACGTCTGCGAACACCACCACTGGGGCCTTCGGCGGAGCTTCCTATGGGGCCAGCGAACCGCTGCACTGGGAGGGGGAGAAGCATGCGAACACCGCCACTGGGACCTTAGGTGGTGCTCCCTGTGGAGCCACGAAACGCTCTCCTGGGTGGGAGAAACGTCTGCGAAAACCGCCACTGGGGCCTTAGGTGGAGCTCCCTATGGGGCCAGCGAAACGCTGTACTGGGAGGGGGGGAAGCATGCGAACACCGCCGATGGGACCTTAGGTGGTGCCCCCTGTGGGGCAATGAAACGCTATCCCAGGTGGGGGAGACACATGCGAACACCGCCTGGGGCCTTCGGTGGAGCTCCCTATGGGACCACGAAGCGCCGTACTGGGTGGGGGAGGCCCATGCGAACACCGCCGCTGGGGCCTTAGGTGGAGCTCCCTATGGGGCCAGCGAAATGCTGTGGTGGGCGGGGGGGACGCATGCGAACACCGCCACTAGGGCCTTAGGTGGGGCTGACTGCGGGGCCACGAAGCGTGCAAGGGGTGCGGCGAAATTGGTGACGATGATGGTGACGATATCGGTTGTGATCATGACGTCGATGATGATGATGATGATGATGATGATGATGATGATGATGATGATGATGATGATGATGATGGCGACGGCATTGCGATGACGATGATGACGATGATGACGATGATGTGATGGTGATGATGATGATGCTGATGATGATGATGATGCTGATGATGCTGATGATGACGACGACGAGGACATGCGCAGGGCAGAGGCAGGGACTGGAGGAGGGAGGAGGGGGAGGAAGAATGAAGGAAAGAAGGAAGGAAGGAACGCGGGGACCGTCTCCTCAAAACGAGGAACCACTACCACAGGATGGTTGGGAAACCAACCACGATGGCCTGCTCATGATATGCCAAGATGGCTTAACCTTATGCCCAAGATGCATCCAATAGGCCCCAAGACCCCCACGACGGCACCAAGCGGCCACGGGACCGTCCAAGGATGCCCCCCGAGATGCCAAAATACATGGAAAACCTGAGGACTGCTACATCTTGTTGCCTTCTCACCTGTTCTCTTCCGATGACCTTGTGAAGCCTCAAGGTGCCTCCAAGACGGCCCAAGACAGCCCCGAGAGGACCCAACGACCGCCCTAGGAACGTCCAAGAACGCACCATGCGCTCTAAAGAGGGCCCCGAGATGCGACGGTTCGGCTTCCAGAGGTGCGGGGCGAAGTTCGCAACCTCCTTCATTCAGGGCCAACACCATTGGAAAAACAAGTAGTTGTGTTTGAAGAGTTTGGCGTATCGGGGGCATCCGCGGGATGCTGCTTGGCTCACATGGCTCCACGATTGCTGCGGATGGAAAGCTTAAGATGGCCTCCACTATGGCGTAGCATGGTCTAAGATGACCTTGAAGATGCATCCGTGAGGCCCAGAGACAGCCCAGGCCACGGAGCCTCATAAGGCCGCCCCCGAGAAACCCAAATCCTTCCAAAGCCAAATAATGCTCAATGATGTTGGCCATCTCGCCTTCTTGCTTCCGATAGCCTTGTCGGGCCTCACGGTGTCTCCAAGATGACCCATGAGAGCCCCAAGAGGACCCCAAGACGGTTCCAATAAGAGAGAGCCCCAAAACGCCACAAGAGGGCGCCAAACGAACCCCAAGAGGTGACTGTTCGGGCCCAAGAGGGGCGACCCTAACGGCACCGCCACCTTGTTGTTCGATGGCATCCAAGACGGCCCCAAGAGGGCCTACGGGGCCCCCGAGATGGCCCTAAGAGCCCAGAGAGAGCCCCAAGAGAAGAGGGCTTCAAGATGATCGAAGAGGCATCCGAAAGGCCCACAGAACGATCCGCATCCGCAAGAGCTTGTATGGTGGAATCGTCGTCGTCTTCGTCGCCGCCGTCGTCATATTCCTCCCCCATCCTTCTCATCATCCCCCTCCTGCTCCTCCCACCATTTCCTCCTTGTCCTCCTTCTCCTCTTCCTTCTCCGTCTCCTCCTCCTCCTCCTCCTCATCGTCATCATAACCATCACCATCACCATCACCATCACAATCACAAGCATCATCATCATCAACAACATCATCGAAAATATCATCATCATCATCATCATCGTCATCATCATCATCATCATCATCATCATCATCATCATCATCGTCATCATCATCATCAGCATCATCATCATCATCACCCTCCTCATCATACTCATCTTTTTCCTGCCCAAAATTCACCAGAACTTTGACGGGAACTTGTACGTCAAACTCGCATTCCGACTGTTTGCCGTCCTCCTCCTGATCCTTGCCCTCTCTGCCTCCTCCTCCTCCTCCTCCTCTTCTTCTTCTTCTTCATCATCATCATCATCATCATCATCATCATCATCATCATCATCATCATCATCATCATCATCACCATCATCATCATCATCATCATCATCATCATCATCGTCATCATCATCATCGTCATCATCATCATCCCGCCTCCTCCTCCTCATCATCATCATCATTCTCCTCCGCCTCCTTGTCCGCCTCATTCGACAAAGCCGCGCAAACATGTACGGATCACTACTCATGGATCTGCTCAAGCTGGTCCTACACTCATGATGACGACTTTTCCCCTCCTGTTGTTCCAATTCATGTTCCCACCGTTCCCTCGCCAGTGCAGTAGGTTTGGGCATCTTTGCTGGACGGGCTGGCTTGAATACACGAGGCATCGACAAGTCGCTTCATCCCTGTATCGGCCGATGTTCTGCCAAGGTTCCGATATCGTTTTGCCCAGCAAGCGAACGTGTGACCACTGTGCATGTGGGCCTTGCGACTCAAATTCACCCACTGGGAATGGCATGATGGCAACTGGGCGAGCAACTGCAATGGCTCCGGCTCTTCGCAGTGCAGCGATGATTTGAAACAGGGCAGCTCTGATACGTTTCTACCAGGCTGTGCGTTTCATTGCCTTGCGTCGGCAGACTACCGAACGAACTAACGAAGTGCTGTTCAATGGTGTGGCCTGCTGTGCCCTCGCTAGTTGCTTGCAACGCATCGGGTAACCATCACCCATAACAGTGGTTGTGATCCTTTGTTGTGCACGCCATGCGGGACGGAAGACGCATTGCGTTTATAGGTCGGGGTGGTCAGGGTGCAACGACATTCCCGCGACGATCCCGTACCTGTTCTTCCCACCCAGAAACAAGGGCGCCCGCAGGACGTGGATTGTGTGGGGGGGCGGGGGAAAGGTCCATCTATCAATACTGGGAAACATACAGCACCCGACCCCAAGGGTGCGCCGCTTGTACAGGAAATTCACCCCCACATGACACATACACTTGAGTCCAACATTGTATCCCCTAGATTCTACAATTCAACGGACACAACAATGTACACACGCCAAAACGACTGTAATTTTGACATCGGACCACTGTGCCGTCCTTTTCCCCCAAAAAAAAACATGTGACAATGCGATGTACCTCAACAAATCACAACACAACATTCGGCCTCAGCGTGCACTCGTTCCCCGAATGCTACATTATGTTAATACATAACGCTGCAGCGATGCTGTCTCATTGTGCAATTTTCTTAACGTAAACGCACACCGTATCATACTAAAACGCATAGGTGTAGACATACCAGAGACATGCCGCACATTCCTGATGCGATGCGCTATCAGAACAACGTCGGTTTATACTGCTAGGCCTGGGACATCAAACGTGATTGGAGATGAGGTTGCTCACCTGTGGCTGTATTACAAAATTATGCGATGATGGTGCGGATGGGGTGTTGACTTGCAAGATGATCTGCAACACCATTCCAAACGCGATAACTGTCCTATACATTCGAACATGTGGTTGGGCCCCGCTGACGTCTTCCGCTATGAATCCGTGACCCTGTCCTGGTGCACTTGTGCTTCATTACACAATGCTGACTGCGCCTTGTGGTTCGAGTACACGTCATATGCGGCGATCAGAACCGACTCGCCTGGCTTACGGCATAGCGGCATCCGCTGCCTGACTGGAACACCACCTCGCAGTCTTGATCCCCACGTTGGTTTGGTCCCCAGGGGCCGACGGTGGCTCGCCCTGTGCAGCTCACCCTGGCCCGACCTGTGCAGCGCACCCGACGGTGGCCCGCCCTGCGCGCTTCACCTGGCCCCTGCAGGTGGAGAGGAGAGACGCTGTTGCGCGTTGCTCCACCTAGAGGCCGTGCCGCGCCCACGCCGCTGCCGCAGCGTGGAACACCGCGGAGTGCCGCCTGGACAAGCGCGACGCACTGCGGTCGTAGCCGCCACCGATCACGCACACGATGGGGATCTTCCGCGAGAGGCAGGCCTCCAGCACGACGTCTTCGCGCCTGCGCAGACCCCCCCAGGAAACGCCGAGTCTGCCGAGGCCGTCGTCTGCGTGGACGTCGACGCCCGCATCGTACAGCACCAGGTCTGGCCGGTGCAGGTCCAGGGCGCACGGCAGGTGGGCTTCGAGCGCTCCAAAATATCCTTGGTCCGCAGTGCCTGCCGCCAGGCCCACGTCCAGATCGCTGCGGTCCGCCCCCAGGTGGCTCATGCCCTTGAAGCCAAAGGGGAAGTTATCCTTGCAGTGCACGGAGAAAGTGAAGGCCCGCGGCTCTCCGGCGAGGATCTCCGCGGTGCCGTCACCCTGGTGCACGTCGAGGTCGCACACGAGCGGCCTCGACACGAGCCCCTCCCGCAGCAGCAGGAGGGCTGCCACCGCGAGGTCGTTGAGGATCGTGTACCCGCTGCCCCACGACCTGTGCGCGTGGTGCGTGCCCCCTGCCGTGTGGCAAGCGAGTCCGCGCTGCAGCGCCAGGCGCGCGGCCAGCACCGTGCCCGCGACCTCGAGGCGCGTGCGCCGCACCAGGGCGCCGTAGTCCGAGCACTGCGTGAAGCCGATGCGCCGCCACCTCGCAGCGTCGAGGGTGCCCTCGAGGAAGCCGCGGCAGTACTCGGCGTCGTGCGCGAGCAGGAGCCAGTCGTCGGGAGGGCCACGGGGGCCCCGCCCCCCTGAGGTCCAGAGCGCCAAGAGGCAGTGAAAATGCTGCTGGCTTCTGGCCAGGGATGCACAACCACGGCACGCAACGACGGCAGACGGGCGGCTCCCGGCGAGGAGGCGAGCAGTGAAGCCGCTGGGATTGGGCCGCATGCGGCCTGTCTGACTGTCCTCTTGCCACCCTGCCCCTCGAGGGGGCGAGAGCACCATGGCGGGAGGGTCCTCGGGGGTCCAGAAGTCGCGGTGCGACTGGACGAGCCCGTCCGAAACGAGGCGGTCTGCCAGGTCGCGGAACTTCCACATCGGCAGAAGACACAAAGCACGGCCACAACAACTGGCCAGTCGAGGGGCCCAGCCTTATGCCCTATGCAGCTGCGTGGAGCCCAGCAGGCAGGGCTCTCTTCATACACTTACGGTCAGGAACTTTTGCTCAGCATTTCGCGGCGGCGGCCCTGCGACACGCCGCGTCTTGCGAGCTGATCGCGCGTCGCTCTGCGTCGTGGGGCGGGAGGCTGGGAAGTGCTCGGAACGTCCATGCTCGGGGACTGGGACGTGCTTCGCCTGTCGCGGCCGAAGCGCGGTGGGCGAGACACTGCGGCGCGACGCGCGGAGCAAACGTTCTTCACTGGGCAAGCGCGTTCCGCGACTTGCAAAGTAGCTACTCTCAAATGGCCTGGATCCGCCGCAAGGGGTTTACGATATATTGCACAGGGGTGGCTTCCCGGACGTTTGCGAGTAGGCACTCTGCGAGGAGTGGAACGCGCTCGGCGATTCACCGTGCGTTTCGCGCCGCGGGGCGGTGGAGACATGGGGGCTGCGGAGCAAGCGCGCAGAGGCGCGCTGACCTCCCCATGGGGCACGGATCCGCGTGAGTGGGGGCCAAGCCGGGCGGAGGCCGGCAGACAAGCGCACCCGCCGAGGCCGCTGGTGGAGCTCCACGCGTGGGGGGGGGGGCACTGTGCCGAGAAGGGCGTGGGGAACGCCCTCACTCAAATGGAGATGGACAGACCTCCCTTTAGTAAAACGTGGTTTAGTGAAAACGACCTGAGACCCAAACCTGGCGGGCGCAAGCTTGGAAAATAACGGCCACGGCGCCCTCTCGAGAACCGAAAACGGACAATTCACAAATTGACGTGTCACTGTTGGGGGTTCTGTCCAACCCCCGACCCAAATTGGTCACCAAGCTTCGCGCATCGCGCCCCGCGATGCGCGGTTATCTTCGCGGCATCGCGCCTCCCCCTTAAGGGAAAAGCAACCGCTCTGGCCCAGACCGCGACGGGCGATTGTCTTCTCGTCCCGGCGGGTGACCTAGCTCCCTGAGGCCGTGAAAGGACCCGCTGTGGGGCACGATCTGGGCGAGGGGTGTGACTGGCGAGAGGTGGCGGCGCACTTACGAACCTGTGGGGCACGATCCGTCTTTTAGAACAAACTGCATTAGCAAAAACTTTCGGAGGCCCGCGCGGATTTCTTGGATCCGCGCTGGGCCCCCTCCCTGGCGCGCGGAGCGCGCCACGGGCGGCTCCCGAGGTGCCGCCAGGTGATGCAAGCCATCAGCGCGAAGCTCCGAGAGGTCATGTAGGAGGCCACTTGCGAACCCTGCCCCACCACCCCACGATATCTAAAGGGGTAGGTGGGGTCTCTCTTCGATCGGGAAATCCCGAGCGAAGCGACCCCCACCTCCCCCCTTAGAAACCGGGGGTGGGTGGGGTAGGGTTCGCATGTGGCCGCCGATCATTGGTCAAGCAGTCTTCTCTTCTTCGATCCCCAGCGGCGTGCCGCACATCGGGCGGGGAGCTCCCTGTGGGCGGGGGCAGCGGCAGCAGGCGGAGCAGCGAGCAGCGATAGAGAGAGAGAGAGAGAGCGAGAGAGAGGCGGGAGGGCGACGGACGGCGCGCGGCGCAACGGAGAGAACTCGAAGACCCGGCAGCACGGGGGAACGGGAAGCCAGAAAGCCCTCGGGGCTCTGCGCGGATCTCTCGAGTCGCTGCTGAGTCCTCCTCTCGGCGACGGTCGAACCGAGGTATAAGGTCGAGGTCTGTTCGGGGAGGGTACCCGAATGTTCGTGCTTGTTGGATGTTCTTGTGCATCCTGGGGGAGGGTGGTGACCCTCGAATGTTCTTCGGTTTGGCCGGCGGAGGGCGTCATGTTCTTGGAGGATGCTCTTCTGTCCCAGGCCCGGCCGTACACGCAAGATCCGTGGTGAGCTGCTTCCCTGGGGCCGCGGACGGGCCACATCCAAGCGCGCAAGCCAATCTCGAGGGACACATGTGGGCTCGCAACATCTGTGCAAGCTCTTCGGCACCGCCTGCACTCCGCGCCCTCCGGCCGCCTGAGGCCCCGCCCGCCCGCGCCCTGTCTCCCCAATTAGTGCTTTGCGCGCCCCGCCTAGCTCTCAACCGGAAGAGGCCCGCTCTCGACCCGCCGACCAAAACGTGGGCTCGCAACAGAGGTCACCCTGGCGAAGTCGGGACCTTTTGCTTAGCGCGTCGCGGCGCCAGCCCCAGCGACCTGCTGTGCCGTGCGTGCGGATGGCGTGTCTCTCCGCTCCGCGGGGCGAGAGGCTGGGAACCACTCGGGACGCGGACGCTCGGGGACCGCGGCGTCGATAGCGTGCCGCGCCCAAGTGTGGTGGGCCAAAACCGGCGCCGCGACACTCTCTAGCCCAAAATTCCCGACCGTAGACGATCCCAGACATCAAAATTCCCGATTCGTTCGAGACACTGGCCTCCGACCTCTCGACCACCCGGGAACGTTTTGTTCATCCCGACTCGTTTCTTCACGGCCCCGAGGCCTGGTAAAGGCCCCGAGAGGCCGAAACTATGAAAAACCATTCCGTCTCGATGTTGCTTCACGAGACGCTGGATGTCTGGGATGCTGGATGTCCGTGCCCTTTTGTCTGCGGGCATCGGTAGAGGCCTCCAAAGTGGGGTCCACCTAGATGGGTAGATGGAGTCGGAGGATCGCGCCGCGCCGATACATCGCTGACGCATCGCTGATGCATCGGCAATGTCGCGGTGCATCGGCGACGCCAGCGCCAAGAAAGTCTGGCCCCACATCGAGCCGCATCGGCGATGCATCGGCGATGCCCTGATTTTCCCAACACGGGGTCCCCAGAAATCCCGAGCCTTTCCCTGGGACCAACTTTTCGTCCTGTATCTAATGTCTTCATTGTCCAGGGGCCTGGCAAGGGCCCCACGAACTGCAAAAACCTCCCGTCCAAATTTGTTTTGGACGCGAGCAAATTTTGGGCGGCCCAGAATCGGGAACCGCGCGGATTTCTTGGATCGGCGCTGGACCCCCCTCCCTGGCGCGCGGAGCGCGCCAGGGGCGGCGCCGCCAGGGGGCTCCGGCGCAGATCCAAGAATCCGCACCGCGCTCCTAACGCTTCTGCTTATGCCGCCACTTTGTCTCCTATGCTTATGCTTCATATGCCTGTGCCCGTCGTTGGTCTTCTGGGTATCGCAGGGCTCGACCTAAACGGTGTTTTTGTTTGCTGTTGTTTTGCTTACGTATTCCCTCGTTCTGTCTTCGCCCGCCTTGGCGTCAAGACGAAATCGAAACGACAACGACCCACGAAATCGCAAAACACACCGTGTATTTTTTAGCAACGACCGACCGTCCTGGCATTTCTACAGGCCTACCGAGACATGTTCTTAGAACCAACGAATGTTCGAAAAACAAAAATCGCGTCCTTAACCGGCATTTCTATAGGTCTACCAAGAACTGCCCTTAGAACAAAGACATGTGCTACTATAGCAAAAATAACATCCTTAGAACATCGACCCGATGTATCAAAACAACATAACCTCGGCCATAACTGTTCTCTGAGAACACATCTCGTGCAAACCGCGAGAAAAGGTTCTTAGAACATGCGGTGGACCTATAGGCACACCGAGGACGCTTCGCCACTGCTCGAGCCTAGGTCGGGCGTTGGCAGAACTGGGTTTAGTGGGACCTGGTTTAGTGATGTGTACTGGGGGGCGCCGGGCGCCCCCCAGGCCCTGTTCCACTAACTGGAACTGCCGTCACACGACAAACACCAGCTACGGCAGACCTGGCTTAGCGATTCTGGTCAATCTAGGGGCTCCGGGGCCCTACTACTAACCGGGTCCCCTTACCTGGGGTCCTGGCTACCCAGACATGCGACGTCCTGACTTTTTCAGGACGGCGTCCCCGGAAGTCCCGACCCTTTCCCCGGGACCCGTTTTTCGTCCTGCATCGTTTTTTGACGATCCCGAGGCCCGGTAAGGACCCCCCAGGGGCCGAAAATGGCCAAAAACTGACCGCCCTGATTTCTTCACGACGCGATCCTGTTTGGGTATACCCGCCTAGGTCGAGCCCTGGGGCATCGGGAAGCGGTGCCCGGCAGGCCACGGCGGCGAGTACGCCGGGTGCCACACCGCCGGGGGGCCTCCGCGGGGCCGCGCCCCGGGCAGGGCCGGCAGGCCAGCGCGCCGCCCCGCGGGGGCGCGCCGCGCCGCCGCGGCCGCGGAGGGCCCCATCGCGGGCGGGCTCCGGGCACCGCCCGGGGGGGGGGGGGGCTCCGCGGCGTCGAGGGCACGACGGCGAGGAGGACGACGCCGCCGACGACGTGGAGGATGACGACGCGGGGGACGAGGAGGACGAGGACGAGGCGGACCAGGAGGAGGAGGAGGAGGACGACGAGGACTAGGACGGCGAGGGCGAGGACGTCGAGGGCGAGGACGTCGAGGGCGACGACGCAGACGGCAGCGACGGCGACAGAGGGGCCCGTTTCAGGGCTCGAGCCAAACAGTGTGCTTCGTTTTCGTTATGTTTTCGTCGTCTTTCGTTCTGCCGTTGCTGCGACACGAAATCAAAACGAGGTCGGTTCACGAAATTGTGTTTGGCTCGAGCCTTGGTCGAAAGGTGCCGCCGAACCCGGCTGCATGAGACGACCGCGTGGTGTGCTGCAGTGCGCGCGCGCGAGCACGGAGAGGAGCGAGAAAGGTGAGGGCGAACAATCCAGCATCGCTTCATCTTCGTGAGTCCGAGATTTTCTGCCACGCGCCGTGGTTAGCACAAGATCCTGGCGCTGCATGTTTGTTCACAACGGGCGTTTTCGCCCAGTTTCGGACCCCATGACTCTCACATATCGATTCGGCTCGAAAAGGTATGCAGAAAGATGGGGTCCGAGGTTCCACTGGTGATCTTTTGCGATGCTAAATTATTTGGCAACGTCAAATCTGCAGGCAAGGACGGAGATAGGGTGCTCAAACGCGGGTGCGAATGTGGTTGTATCTGGCCTGGCCTAGCTTAGGAGAGGGCTACGGGTTCCCTATAAGTGGTTCGGGGGGCGGGGCCCACTTGGCGGTGTTCTCTGGCCCCCCGAACCATTTCGGGCACCTGTTTCCAGCTTGTAGGCTAAGTTCGGCCAGACATAGCCCACCTCAGCATCTGCTTCTGAGCCCCCTTCTCCCCTTAGGAACCGCCGCGGCCATCTCAATGCCGCTCCTCGCTTGAGGTGGCGACATCGAAAACGCATCGCATTCGTGTCGATGCCGCGTCGAATCCGCGTCGGAGTACAATAACAGACTGCCATATGTACATGGCAGGTGAGGCCCCCCGAAGATGCACAGTGATATGCCCCCCACTAGGTGGCGACATCCGAAACCTACACCCAGCAACCATCGATTCGATGGGAGGCAGGGGTTAGGGTTCGGATTACGCCGCGTGTTCGACGAAATCCGAACCCTAGCCCCGCCGCCCATCGAATCGCTTGAATCGTTGATCGGCGAGGGTAGGGTTCGGATTGCGCCGCCGACCCTTTCTACTGCCTCCTGGGGGGTATGGTTAGCCACAGTATGCGCGCGAGCACCAGCTTGTTTGGAGGGGGGGGGCGCAGGCCTCGTCCCTTACCTAAGGAAGGGGGGGAGCCAGGTAATGACCGTTACGCGCCAAATGATCAGAACAAGCAGGAATATCTTGTTCCTCGTGCTGCCACCGCACTAGCCGACGTGGCAGAGTTGGCCGGCTCCACAAGCGAGGAAAAACGACTAATTATTCACTGCGTGCCCTGTGGTGTGCCACGCTGGACTCGGACGCAGAGGATGATCAGCAGGTTTCCCTCGCAGGGGTTTTACCGCGAGCGTCTACGCACAGGCAGGGCTCTTCGTCGGAAGGATTAAAATGGATTAAGCCCCATTGGGGGGCTGTTGCGCCAGAGAGGGCCTCGGATTAAGCGGGACTAAGACGGATTAAGCGGGATTAAACGGGATTAAGCCGGATGAACAGGATTAGCCCAGACTAAGCTGGATTTCGGACCAGGGCAAGATCATAATTTATCCTCCCTGGAGTTGCATCCAAACTACCCTGCTCGTGCTGGGAGGGCGCTGCGCGACGCAAGCGAGGAAGGGGGACGACGATTGACACCGAGCAACCCCGGAGCGGCGGGGGGAAGGGGTTCGATGCGTCGCCCAAGCGATGGGGGGAGACGGCGACGGGCGCCGAATGAGATATCCATCGATCGATTGGATCGCGCAGGCCTTGAACGCTCGCGGCTCCCCGATAGCGCCGACCGTTTGATGTCCGACATTTCTGGGCAACTGGTGGAAATCAGCCTTGAAAGCCCCCGCTGGGGTCGCCTGCGCGTCGACACGACGCAAACCTTCCTGGACGAAGAGACGCACCTTTCCTCCTCTACCCCCTCCCACCGTCCTCGACCCGGGCTCCGCGCGAGGCCACCTCTAGGCGGTGGCACAGCCCCAGCATGCACCACAAGCCCTTCGTGACTCCGTCCTCGAGCCACATCTCCAGCTGCAGCGGAACGCTGGCGCCGATCTGACGGGCGGGTGCTTGCGGCGCCCGTGCGCTCTATCGCTGTTCCTCCTCCTCCTCCTCCGAATCCTCCGCCCTCCCTCTCTCCCTCCCTCTCTCTCTTCCCTCCAGTTCCTCCTCCTCGTCTTCCTTCTCCGCGTGCTCTTCCCAGTCCTCCTCCTCCTCCTTCTTCTCCTCCTCCTCCACCTCATCCTCCTGCTCCTCTTCCTCCTCCTCTTCCTCCTCCTCTTCTTCCTCCTCCTCCTCCTCCTCTTCCTCCTCCTCTTCCTCCTCCCTCCTCCTGATCCTTCCTCCCCTCCCTCTTCCTTTTCCTCCTCTCCTCCTCCTCCTCCTCGCCTCCTCCTCCTCCTCCTCACCTCCTCCTCCTCCTCCCTCCTCCCCCTTTCTCCTTCTCCTCGTCATCCTCCCCTCCTCCTCGTCATCCTCCCCCTCCTCCTCCTCCTCCTCCTCCTCCTCCTCCTCTTCCTCGTCGTCCTCCTCCTCCTCTTGCTCTTCTTCTTCCTCCCCCTCCTCCTCCTCCTCCCCCTCCTCCTCCTCCTCCTCCTCCTCCTCCTCCTCTCCTCTTCGTCCTCCTCCTCCTCCGCCTCCTCCTCCTCTTCCTCTTCCTCCCCCTCCTCTTCCTCCTCTTCCTCCTCTTCTTCCTCGTCCTCCTGTCCCTCCCTCTTCAACCTCGCCATTGCCTCCGCACGCCTCCCTCGCCCGGTCTGGCTCCTGCGACTCCAAAAGCTCCACCTCGTTCCTTCCTTCCACCGCCTCCCCCCTACTGCTGGTCCGTCCCGCCTCGCTCTTTCCGGACTGCCTCCTTTCCACCTCCCTCTTCCAATGCTTCCCTTTCCCCTCCCTTCTCTTCCTCCTCATCCTCACTCCTCAGCCCCCACTCTTTTTCAATCGTTCCAACATGCTCAGTCCTCCTGCTACTCTTCATTTTCCTTTTTTCGCTCGGCCTCTCCTCCTCCCCCGTTTTCTCCCTTTTCCTGTGCGCCTCTCCTCGCCCTATCCTCCTTTTAATATCAGCCTGTGATTACCAAATCCGTGTGGTGGGGGGGGGCGCACGTCTTAACAAAAAGGAAATCCTTGCTCGGGCGAATCACGGGGGTGGCGCCCGCCGAGTTGACACACAACGGCGGTGGCGCTGGTGATTCGCGCCGACGCCCGGCCGCCAGCGAAAAGGCGACAGAAACAGCACACACTGGGGGAAGGGGGGGGGGAGGACAGGCGACAGAGCAGGGACCGTGAGCCAGGGCGACACCTGCTCGAAATGAAGAACTGCTGTCGGCGCTGGCCCCCGCACTTTCCCGCTCTTCTTGTCGAACCGATGCGCCTCCTTTGCCCTGGCCGCGAGCAAGGCGGGCTGGACGAAAGGGGGGTGTGGCCACGCGGGAATCTGCCAAGCATCTCTCGTTGCTGATTTTCCGGTCGCCCCCTGGCGCCGAGAACGGCCATGCATCGAGGACTGGCCCCTCGACGGGGCGACGGGAACCAGCTGCGCACAGCAAGTTTCGCCCCCCCCCTTTTTTTTCCTCAGCCTTTCATCCGACCCGAGCAAGGCGGGCAATCCTCCTCCCTCCGTTTGTCGCGGTTTGTCTGTAGTCGTCGACGACGAAAACGAATATGCCCGGCGTAACCGACGACGACGACGAGAACGATGACGATGACGATGACGAGGAGGACGAGGACAAGGGCGA